TATGCTCCGCACATTTGACATGCCACAGCACATGCACACACACACACATGCACACATACACACGTTTGTCATGCATTCTATGTAGCGAATAAATTCTGTCATTGGCTTAACAGTTGCTGCAACATTTAATTGAATTTAATTTATCGCTTACTCAAATGCAATTTGTACATTCCACATGATTATTGTTAGCATCTTAGTCATTTTAGAGGATGCTAAACATGTATAAGTATAGGTACACTTGCATGCATACATATGTACATGCATACATAGCTCGCAAATAACTTCTAACCGTTTGCCGATATCTCCAAATGAGTGTATTTTACTCTCACGCTAAGAAAAAACTCAGAGAGCAGCCGATTGTGCACGATTGAGTGCATTTTAACAGTGCCGATTGCGTCGGTTCTTCAACGAGCTCGTTAGCGATCGGCTGCAACCGTTTTTGTTGTTGTTTTGTTTCACTCCTRTTTGCCGTCCCTTCGCTTGAGTTCAATGAGCACAAAGTCATTTGTGTATGTGTTGGTAAATATGCGACTGCTGCGTTCGCTTGAGTTGAATGTGTGCATGTGTGTGCGAGTATGAAGAAGTTGCTCTGCTATATGACTTATTGAGTCTCATTGCGCGAACGTCACCCCCCACACGAACAGATCAACTCAGGGCTCTCAACACAAAATGTGTCTTTTAACAGTGCGCTTAACAGAACACAAAGAGAATGTTAGAGTGAGAGCGAGGGATTGTTAGTAGGAATGGTCAACTGTTATTTTCAAGCTACGCATGTGAACAACATGCAATGTTGTTATATCATTTAAATCATTATCATAATGTTATGTCTATATGTGTATGCATTCAAATAATTTTTATATTATATATTATTTGCCACCTTAATAAAACGGTACATAATTTCTATTGACATTTTTCGATTTGTTTTCCACTTTAGCAAAAGTCTTCCATAGTCAATAGATTATTATTCTTATAATAACAAATGTTGAATAGCAATTCATTTTTCCTACGAACTTTGCTGTTTTATTCCAATTCTCTAAGAATTCTAGCGGCCTACGTACATATGCCAGCAAGCCAGGTTAATGTGAGATTAAGTTACCTAAACTTGAAATTGAGGTATGAGTAAATAAATAGTAGCTTAGAACAGCTGTCTGAAAAACGGTTTCAAATTACTCTACAGCTGCACAGCACCGGCTTGGGAGCTCAAGAGGGACAATTAGTCGCACCTAACCTAACATTTCATACATGACAGCCAAGTTGGTAAAATATGTTGCAAGTGCACACATGATATGTATATATATATATACATATGTGTGTGTGTTTACGTGGCTAAAGCCTACCCGAGAGTCCCACTTATTAGCAAGAGCAGCTCATATAGAAGATGAAATCCCAACACACACACACACATACACGTGCCCTCAGCTTAGATGGAATGAGAGTTCGTCCTTTTACCGTTGGCTGTCATCGTCATGCCGAATCCACTGAGCCCCTGAGCAGGCAATCATTTGGTCCATAAAGCACACGATGCGCCCAAATGTCATGTGCCAAACGGATTACAACACGTGGGAGCTGAGTTCCGTGGCAGAGGTGGAGACAGAAGGGGATATGGAGGTATAGGTGGAGGGGTGCTCGGCTAGATTTCATATAAAAGTTAAACGACAGAAAAGGAAGCGTTGATGCTCCGTCCGCAAATCAGTTGAACCTGCTCAACATCAATCCCAACCTCAGCTCCCCCGACATTAGTGTATCGTACTTAACAGCAAAACTATGCACTGAACTTTAACCTTTTCATACACACTCGCACACACACATACAGTGGCAACTAGTTGATGGAAGTGTCATAAAGTAAATGAAAACTATCGCCCGCCATAAAGCCGATAAGAGCGGTTCGCACAAGACCAAAGCACAGTCCCAATCCCCATCAGCCTGTCCCATATATATATTCGTATATATTCGTCAAATGTCCTTCAGCGAATGTCACACGAAGCGTCTACTTAGCTTGCAAATGGGCCTTTAAACACTTGCTGACTGTACCCAGGCACAACTGTACCTGTACCCGTTATCGAGCATTCGATAACGCTTCCATGCAGCATGCAAAACGTAATTACTTTATATTGCATTTCTCTCTCTGTCTCTCTCCCTCTCTCTGTCTGCCCAATTAAACTTCAATTGCCAGGTGTTGTTTTAATACCACCACGACGTCTACAAGCCACTGGGGTATATCGGCTCCCCAGTAGCGTCTGTGCAGAAACATTAAAGTGTTGTACATTTTTTAAATCTAAAATAAACTTAGAGTCACTATAAATAACACTTGAGAGCAAGAGCCTCACTCATCGAGAAACTGAAAATTGATGGTTTCTTCAAGGAAGAAACTTTATCTATAAATAACTTGAATTAAACAACTTTGTATCAACAAAAATCTTATATAGAATTTCTCTCTCCGCAACTACCTCACTCTATCTGAAATATGACAAATGAAGTAAGAAACTGATAACAGCTGGAATCTTAGATGAATGTACAATGTATGATATCAAGTTTCTCTCTCATCTGAGTTCAAGCTCTCTTTCTAACAAACAGAAAACAGACTGAGCAAGGAACTTGAGTCAGACATATTAACTACGCTCTGTCTAGCCAAGAAACTAAGATCAAACTTAAATACAGTCGAGTCCCAATAATTCGAAATGGCAAGATTTTTTTTTTTTTTTTTTTTCACAGAAAATCAAATCATCGAGAAATATCGACAACAAATTTTTTCAAGGAGATAGCATTTTTTTCGATCTATCGCGATTTTCGATTTAGCGAGGTACAAATATTGTGACTCGACTCCACTTGAATTAAGATAACTTTTCTCTAGCATCAAGTTTCTCTCTAATCTAAGCTCAAGTTCACTCTTCTTTAAAATGAAGGCAGATGAAACAAAAAACTTTGAGCAAGTACATCAGAGAAAAGCTGAAATCAAACTTTTTATCAATTTACAATGTGTTCAATAAAGATTCTCGCTCATCTAATTTCAAGCCTCACCTAACTGAAAGAAGTAGGAGTAGTTATATCAGGTTTATCAAATAAAGCCCCTAGCTACACTTCCCGCGCAGGATATTTGATAGTCTGGCACTCTCATGCGGCACACACGGCATATTTGGACGCTTGGGGCGCAGTTTTTTAATTAAACTTCTCTCTATGGGTATATGCAATGGTAAATGGTAGGATTGAGTTGTGTGTGTGTGTGTGTGTGTGTGTTTGTGTGTGTATGGGAATGCCACCAAATTGATGCCTTTAATCAGGCAAGCTACTTTAATGACACTTTATGAGACGCGCTCCGCACTGTGGCTGTGGGAGGCAGCGCCAATCGTTATCCCCATAAATTAATCGAAGTTGGTCAACGAGGAAAAAAAAGGAAAATCGAAAAGAACTTTGAAAAATGCCACAAGTCAATTTAAGTAAAGTTTCCCGCAGCCAATACAAGTTAACCCTTTGTCAGCTGTGGGGATTTAAGGGTTGGGGTTTCGGTTTGTTGTTGTTGGAGTTATTTCTTTCTTATTTTGGGTGGGGGGATGGGGACTTCAATTGCCATGAAATTTATGTGTTGGCGCTCAGCGTGAACTTGAAGCGCATAAATCCACATGAAGCGGATATTAAAAAGCATCATGAAACGAGCCGCAGCCACCCCAAAAATAAAATCCCCCACCCCCAGCAGCCATACCCCTTTTTTTTTGTGTGTGTGTGTGTAGGCCTATTACCAATGCCAGCATATAGACATATTATATAGCTGATTGACTTCGATCGCATTTGGGCTTTGTTGGCTTAAATTATGAACTTAGAAATTGACAGGCGGCAAAGGAATTTTCTTTTCTTTTTTCCCTTTTGCCGCTTCCGACAAGGAAAAGCGAGAAACAGGCCGGCAGACAGACATGGGCATGGAATTAGCTAGATAAGAGATTGGGGTAAACTATACGTATATAGAGGGAAGAAAGGGCACCCTACTTGACTCCATAATTGAAAACTTACAACGAAACTTATTCGAGGAATCTGCCAAAAAGTTGAAAGTTGCTCAGGCATGAGACAGGCTGAGTGTTTGAGTGTATAATATGATATACATACATAAACCTATATAGTCGAAAAGCAACAACTTCTATAACAGTATTAGCTCACCATCTACCCAATGTAAATTGTTCATATCCAATGAAATGCTCCCCATTACAAATCATTTCAGCCTTGTCAAAATTACGAAAAGTTGGGAATACGTCAGAGAAGCACACTTATGCAATTTCAGCTTGGATATTGAAGAGTAAAGACTCAATGCCCCGAGACTTGCACAGTTTAGATAGTTTTCAAATAATTTAGCATGTTGCCATGGCAATAAATTGAATTGTCAGTGTAGGCCCTGAGAAGCGTGCACTTACATATATAACTGTATCTCTATCTGTAACTGTATTTCTATCTATAGCTGTAGCTGTATCTGAAACTTTGACATGCACAAGGCCAACACACAGACTCCAGCTCGTACTCCAGCTTGTGATGTCTGTAGAGATGAGCGCGTGACAAATTTGAAATGTCAATTCGATAGTCAGGAGAAAGAGCGGTGAGAGAGAGAGAGAGGGAGAGAGAGAGAGAGAGAGAGAGAGACAGCCAGACAGGCAGAGAGAGAGTAAGAGAGAAAGTGTAGGAGAGAGAAACAGTGACACAGAGAGGTAGTGAGCGATTAAAAATGAGAAGGACAAACGCTAAAACAGAAATAGAAAATGAGAGAAAGTTTTGAGAGAGAGAGACTGAGAGAGAGAGAGAGAGAGAGAGAGACAGAGACAGAGACAGAGACAGAGACAGAGAGAAACAGAGACAGAGACATAATGAGAGAGGCAAAACTATGACAGAGATGATACATAGATTAAGATAGAAAGTGCGGGAGAGAGAGAAAGAGAGGGAGATTGAAAAAGAGAGAGATATAGATAAACGTGGCTTTATCATATAGCATGCAATATTCCCAACATTAACAACTTTACAACAACGATATCTGCTCGTGTCACGCGGCCAGCTCTGGTGCGTGCTGGCATATTGAAACTGTGCCCAAAAATGCTGCCTGCTTGGCTTCAGTCAGCTCATTCATTGCCTGGAGCACTTCGGTCTCTGGCTCTGGCATATTTGATTTTGTAATTTGCATTTGATAAGCAGGCAGCAGGCAGGGGGCAGCGGGCAGGGGGCAGCGGGCAGGAGGCGGCAGGCAAGACGAAGGCGAGGCGACATCGCTCAGCCGCACGATTCGGCTTTGGCTTTGTCCTTGGCAGCCTTTTGTTTTGTTTTAATTCCATCGAGCTGTGCTATCTTACATTATCCATCGAGCAGTTGCCGCATCCTCTGCTATCTCAATGCGCTGCCAACTGTTTGTTTGTGTACAATTTTATTAGGTATTTGTATTTCTACAATGCTCCCAGCATCCCAGCTACATTAGCACATTCTCTCGACTATGCGTGTGTCTGTGTGTGCGTGTGTGTGTGTGTGTGTCTGGTTGAGTGTTAAAGTTTGCTTTGGCAAATTGTTCCAGCTTCCAGTTGTTCCAGCAAAAATTAAAAATACCCAAGGGTACAGTGTGACAATCGAATCCATATTAGGGGTATTCCCCTGGGGAGCCGCCCAACTACTATAGCATAAATGCCAAAAATTGAAAAGCAACATTTTTCTCATATATATTATTATTATTATTATTATATTATTATTATTTCGCATACCAATTGTATATTTTATTTAGTTTTGTATATGAACTATGCCTAATACAAATTAAATATGTTCAATATGTCTTTAGATTCGATTCTATTCGTGCAGCTGGCTTGCCCACTCTCATGGGGATACAAATGGGGATTACAAACAAACTATTTGCTTACAATTTAAATGAAACGATTCCATATTGTGTGGCACTCCAAAAATGTTGTATCTATCGCGGATGTACATATATCTACATACACACATACATACATACATATCTATGTGTTTGGCTTCTATACGTTTGGCCTCGGCTTTCACACGTATCAAAAGACAAATTAAAGTTCTGAGTTCAAATCGATTCGATTGGGAACCRATTCGCAGTCTTTCACTATCCGACAATTTCATATTGTGTGAGTACTTGAGTGGAATCGTTCATGGTCTATTTCTATTTAATGCTATTTAAAGCGTTGCACATGAAAAGCTTCATGCGAATGGTAATTGAGGTGCTTTGATTGTTTGACTTTCATATTTTCGATTGGATGCGTCAACTATAAATTGTATAACACTGGCTGTTCAGTGTTGGTTAATTATGGGCAACAATGATTATATACTATATATAATAAGCGTTAATACAATTTGTGTATATATATTTATATATCTCTTAATGCATATATTTGTCTCGCAAATTTAATTTCATATATAAATAATAAAATTGCAAATATATCTCAAATAAAATGGCTTAGAAAACAATAATATTGCTTATTAAATGTTAAACTCAATAATATAATAATAATTACAATTAYTAATACCATCAACATGACGTTTTAGAAAGAAACAGCTATCACAACTCTGTCCTAAGAACCAAATAAATTATTATATACTTTATCGGCAAGAAACATAATCATTTCTAACTACCTCAAATAATATAAAACCATATTCAATTTACACATGACATACAAATTTGTTGCTGATCGCGTTTATCGTTATTTCAATTTTATAAATCGTTAACTGTTTGTTTCTTCTTTGCTCTATAATTGTTGTAATTTTTTTATTTTTGTCTATTGCTTACGCTTAATTTGAGGTCTTTGATTTTCATTTATTTAATTTTAATATACATATAAGCCCAATAGGTGAGGTGGTTATTGGATACAAACAATTGTATCTCCATATGGGGTATACTATGAGGTTGGAATTCAGTGCGATTATTATTTAAGGCTTGATAAAAGTTGCTCTGCTGTTTGGCATTGCAATTGCTCACACTCTTGCAGAATGTTTTTTAATTGATTTTCGTTCGATTTGTTTCGCATTTATATACATGCACATATACATATGTATATGGATATATATACATGTATTATTATTATAATTT